ATATAACCAGTTGATATTAGATATAATATTTATTTATGATATAATATATAATAAATAAATGAAATACATATAGAGGTACGTACCATTTTAATTTCATTAAATAGAATTTCATATATATCATTATTAAGTAGTATATATATATAGTACATACTAAAATCATTATATGAGAGAGAGAGAGAGAGAGAGAAGAGACGTTTAGACATACTTCCCCTGCTCGACGATTTTATATTAAAGACCACCTGTGAATTCTTCCAATGTCTCAAGAGGCTAGCAGAATAATCGGCATATCTGCCCTAAGAAGTCCTCAATCCGCTGTGCATTGGCCAAAAGGATTATTTAGTTCAAAGTCGGTATGATGCAGGAAATTCAGTGAATTCCTGCTTCTAGGCCACCCTCATAACTTAAGCTCATTTACGCCCTCAACCCTGCTCAGACATCCTCTGGTGCGATAGTTGAACACTTGTCAAGATATGGCCAAATACACCAACACCCTTGTATAACTCTTCAAGGGAGACTCCCGAAATGTATCCCTGGAATCATACTCGAATTTCACCATTACCGCGCGTCTTGTCCACTACTTGCCAGGATGTCTACATTGATCTGTAATCATGCCGCCCGCGCCCAAGAGACGGACTAACCTTCGAACCTCACATCGTTCGCTTTTCATCCCAGACTCACCACCTGCTTGTATAAAACACAATACCCGAAAGAAGGGTCGACCCTCTTTGTTTTTAGGAGATCGAAGCCACATCCTAAAAAAACAGCTGATTTTGCCACCAATGGTCTCGCCATTTTACCTCGCCCGCCTCCTCATTATATCAGGGATAATCTGGCCACAAATCCGAAGAGGCAGATATTGATTTGTGTTATCGTGGCATCGGCCATCGAAGGAAAGACATATTATCGTCAAAGTGTTGATGAGATTCATGTCGAGCAAGGCCATCCACCAGGACACGGCAATACCAAAAATGATTAACGCTTCTCCCCGTTCCAATCAACTTAATAACATAATAAGATGGAAGGATTGCTTCTCTTGTTCCGACTTGAATAATCGCAACATCATTTGTGCATCGAATGGACCGCGGAATCAGAGGCCTCGTCTGCTCTAATGCTGTCTTCATAATATTCCTTACACATACGGTAATCCAATTCTATGAAGAACCTCCGTAGAGTTTTCAAAGAAGGGTCATTTCAGGGATCGGCTGCCCGCCAGTCTTCCACCCGCGTCGTCGGAGCCAAACCCCCGAAGCCTCCGGTCCGCCTTGCCGCCGTCTTCAACACCCGTCAAGAAGCCAAAACCCCGCCCGAGCCTCGTCAGCCCGCCAGTCTCAATATACCCGTCGAGAACCAAGCCGCGAGCCCCGTCGCCGTCTAGTCTTCACAACCCGAGGAGAGCACCGCGAGCCGACCCACCATCGAAGTGCTTCACCCCGGCGTCGGACCCAAGCCCGCGCAACACCGACCCAAAAGCCCAGCGGCCACTCCGCCACGAGAGCCCCAACTCCGCCACGCCCAAAACAATTTCTCCTCTCTGTCTTTCTCTCACTTGGATCCAAAGAGAACTTAAATCAAAAGTGTTGTAAGGTAAAAATTTATTTTCTTTTTACTGTCCTCTCTAAACCCTACGATTTTAGGCTTTTTGATGATTTTTAGGGAAGATTATTGTTGAATTTTATGAGTGATAATTTCCAATGTGCTCAATGCAACGCCTATTACTTCAACTTTTCTTTTATAACTCAACTAACTAATTATAACACAAGCATGATGACCATAAAAGAATTACAGCTCAATTATAACACCTTAGTAGCATGAGGACTGAGCTAAAAAAACAGTAACAATTTAATTTGCTAATTTGATAGTGTGGGTATGAATTAGGCAATGTTGCGCACAATATGCTGGTGCTATATCGCTATATAAATCTCTAGACTAGAACTTTCTTCAAGCATAGTGTTTACTGTTTAGCATTATTACCATTAGCTGCAAATATATATGTATATAAGCATGTTTGTTCTTGTGATTTTTTTGACTGTCCTCTTAAGATGATTTTTTTAATCTATGGATTCATTTGTTTATTTTTTTTGCACAGTGGTCTTTGATGGTTTGTTCTTGATGTTTGTTCTTGATGTTTATTTTTGTAAGTAAAAATTATTCTTGATGTTTCTTCTTGATGTTTGATCCAATGGAAACTAAACATGGTTGTTCGCATGTTGTTGATGAACAAATCTCTTAGTTAGATAACTTAGTTGTGCAAATTGTTGGTGAGCACTTAAAACCAAAAATAGGAATGACTTTCGGCAATTTAGAAGATGCTAAAAAATTCTACAGAAATTACGGAAAGGCTGGAGGTTTTGATATTCGTAATAGCACAACAAATTATGGGAAGGATAGAGAGTTAATCTGCAAAAGGTATGTTTGTTCGAAAGAAGGAGTGTTAAAGAGCAAATCGTTGGAAATTCGACAATGTGGTACAATTAGAACAAATTGTAAGGTCTTGATTCGCTTGAAATTAGACAAAAACATTAGCATATGGAGTGTCTACAAGTTTGTAGAAGAACATAATCATACAATTACTTCACCGAGTAGAACACATTTTCTAAGGGGAAACCGTGAGGTAACAAGTACGAAGAAGACATTGATAAAGCAGTTTGGAGAGGTGAACATTCTAACAAACAAGCAAATGACCTTCTTTGAAAACTCTAGCGGAGGTTTTCATAGAATTGGATGTATTGAGACCGATGTGAGGAATTATGAAAGAGATTTGAGAGAGACGAGGCGCGGTCATGATGCACAAATGATGTTGGATTATTTCAAGTCGGAACAAGAGAAGAATCCTTCATTTTATTATGTTTATGAAGTTGATGAAGAGAAGCGTTTAACTCATTGTTTTGGGTGGATGGCATTGCTCGAATGAATTATCAACACTTTGACGATATTGTCTCCTTCGATGCCACGCATAACACAAATCAATATGGCTTGGTATTTGTGCCGTTTGTAGGCATAAATCACCATTGGCAAAGTGTTTTTTTAGGATGTGGCTTGATCCCAAACAAAGAGGCGAAGTCTTTCGTATTGTTGTTTAACAAATGGTTGAAACAATGGGTCATCCTCCTTCGGGCATGATTACAGATCAATGTCTTGGCATATACAAGGCAATTGAAACAGTTATTCCAGAAATTCGGTACAGGTTTTGTATTTGGCATATCTTGGACAAAGTTCCAAAGAAGTTGGGTAAATGAGCTTATAGAACAGAATTCATGAAATCTTTCAAAGAAAATATTTGGGATTCCGATACTGCTAGCTCTTTTGAAGAGAATTGGGTTTCAATTCTTAAAAAAATGGATTGTAAACGCATGATTGGCTAAATGATATATATGAAATTCATGAAAAATGGGCTCCGGTTTATCATAAACAACACTTTTGGGCCGGAATGTCTAGCAGTCAAAGAAGTGATGAAAAATGGGCTCCGGTTTATCATAAACAACACTTTTGGGCCGGAATGTCTAGCAGTCAAAGAAGTGAAGGGATGAATGCATTGCCATAAACAACACTTTTGGGCCGGAATGTCTAGCAGTCAAAGAAGTGAAGGGATGAATGCATTGCTAAAAATGCATGTGTCAAAAAAAAATTCACTTCATGATTTCATGACCATCTTTCAGAGGGTCTTGGTGAGACAAAGAGAGGGGGAGCTTAAAGAAGATCGTTGCACAATGGAGAAAAAACCAAATTTGAAGACTTTGTGGTCAATGAAAAACAAATGGCCCAAATCTACACGAAAAAAAATCTTTTATATTTTTCAAGACGAGCTTCAACCTAGCTTAATGTATAATATCGAGCTGGTAAAAAATGAAAGAGAGGGTACTTTCCAATTAAATTTTTGTGGTCATGATGAAAGATTGAGACATATTATATATTGCAAAACAACTAAAATAAACCGTTGTTCGTGTCTCATGTTTGAATTCAAGAGCATTCCATGCCGACATATATTGGCATATCTTAAATTTACAAATTATAGTGAGTTACCGGAGCAATATATTCTAAGAAGATGGTGCCGAAATGTCAGAAAAAGGGTTGTTCTTAGAGATGGTAATATTATTGGAGATAATACCACAATTAATTTTGCTTCTCGTTTTAGTGAACTAAATTGCTTAGCTAATGAAATGGTCGAAGAGGGGCTATCTTCTAATGACGCGTATGAATTAATGCGTGAAATGATGATGGATGCTATTAATAAGGTGCAACGTTTGAAACTCATCAATGATGAAGAAATTGGACAAGATGTGGAAGCACCTAATATGAATGCGGAGTGTTCTCAAGATATAGTTCATGAACCAAGTCAAGCAAGAACAAAAGGAAGGCCTAAAGGGAAGAGGTTAAAGCCATCGAGAGAGATCCGCAAATGTCGGTCTAGGAAATGCAAATTGTGTGGAAAGCGAGGACAAAATCATGATAGCAGAAATTGCCCTCTAAAGTTGTCAAGGTAGTGTATCATTTGTTTTGGTAATACTAATGCTATTATTTTTTAAAACTTCTTTTTAAGTTGGTGTAATGATCTTTAATATATTTTGCTATCATCAATTTTTTCTAGTGATTCAATGGAATAAGATAATATTGATCAAGCCACTGATGATTTAAAAGATTCCTTTGAGGAAGGTAATGGTTAATACATACGGAATAACTTGTACATTGCCATTTTGCTATATAATGTGATTTTTTAATGTGACAAAGCACTTTGTTTTTTAATTTTTTTAATACAGATGAAGTTCTCACTATTGCGTGAAGTTTGATCAAGGTTGGTGGAGCAAATCATAGCACTATTAGTGAGAAGGGGTTGAAGTCGTTATGTATCTGTGTTTTTGAGGTGTGATTGAAAAAATGGGTAATGAGTTTTTGTATCTTTTGTGTTGGTCCGTTGGCACTACAGATGAAGTTTTTGTATCTTTTGAATGCTGTAATGTCATATGTCGGTTGTCTCCAGTCTATGTTCGTATTCAGGCTCTTAACGTTGGAATCCAGTCAGTTGATATTGCATCGGTCTGTTTCTTCTATGTATAATCAACTATGCTTGTCTTTTCTTTAATGTAAATGTTTTGATATTGCATCGGTCTGTTTCTTCTATGTATAATCAACTATGCTTGTCTTTTCTTTAATGTAAATGTTGGGTTGTGTTGATGGCTTGGGAATTGTTGTTATAATCAACTATGCTTGTCTTTTCTTTAATGTAAATGTTGGGTTGTGTTGATGGCTTGGGAATTGTTGTGCAGAGAGAACAACAATGCAGCAAAACTTGTGAGTCTGAACACTACTCAGGTTTGTATATATTGCGCTGGGGTTAAGTGAAATGGGTTGATAATGCATTAAATTTGTGCCGTAGGAGCCTGCAATCCTATCCTTTTGGTTGATAATGCATTAAATTTGTACATCATGTGTCTGCACATATTGCGCTGGGGTCAAGTGAAATGGGTTGGTTGGTTGCTAATTTGTATATGGGATTCTGCTTCTTCATGCTTTTTTAGTTCAATTAAATCAGATATTAAGTAAGGATCCAATCTTTTTAAACAAAACCTTCATATGAATCAGTTTTGCAGGTTTCTCGAAATTCATCTTAATAATATAGGCACTTGTATAATAATTTTTTATGTTGATACAAATTGAGGGCTTGAACTAAGGACAATAACCCACACTTGTATAACAATTCACCTTTTAAATGACAGAACTAAAATACGCAACCAAGAAATTTCTAATCACATCCAAAACTAGAAAACAAAGGGATATGTACACTTAGAATTTCTAGTCGCGCCCAAAACTGGAAAGCAGAGGGATATGCATCAGAAACCCTAACTACCCCATCATTCATTTACATGTTCTTAAGATATGGCACGTTCAAAATATCAACCAAATAATCATAACAACTGAACCAATTTCAAATAAATATAACCAATTTGAACATTCGTTTACAATAAGATATTTGGATACATCAGTCATTCACTAATATGTTGCTCAGTCATTTGCCTATAACACAGAGTAATAATATAAGTACAACGATACTTATAAATTTTAAATATAAAATTACATCATTCAGTATTTTATTCAAAACCTCATCATTTTTTCTAGCCTTTCCAGCTTTTTGTGATGTTCTTGGTATCACCCACCCATTCAAAGAAGTTGCAACCCTTGCAATTAGGTCCCTTGTATCTCGGGCATCCATAAAATTCCAAGCCCTTATTGTGTCCTTACTTGCACATCCATATTTTGCAAATTAACCCACAATGACATATTCTTTGTTCTAAATCCTCATCTTCTTCTCCACTGAACTCTTTAAAAAAGTTCTTCATCTTTTATCTGCAAAAAACATACCACAAACAAATGTATATCACTGTAAAAGGATTATGTACATACCCGATATCATCTACTCACAATGTAATCCAAATTATGTACATAATCTACTCCCAAAATTCAAGGTTCATACAAATGTATATATTAGTCTATAAACAAGGAAAATTCAAATTCTATGAAGAAGCGTTTTGAGAACACTCACAAGTGGCCTTGGTAGTATGCAACCTTGATTATCACTGGTGATCAATTCAAAAACATACTGCATAATTTCTATACTTGCAAGAAGTTTTTCCCGTCAGTTACTACATAAACTGCCAAAAATAAAGAAAAACTACTCTAATTGAAGTGTCCAAAAATATCACTATAAGCTGTTTAAGGCTTGTAGAATAAATGAAAATCTTGATTTCCTGATATCTTTTAGATATCTAGATACCTCTTGGTCTCAATTGCTTCGTTGGTTGGGGCTGTCCGCAACCTGGTGATCAATGATCAATATATAGATCCGACAAAAATGCCACGAAGTCAAGATCAGACAAAATCCAACAATATTTCTACGGCTAGACAAAAATCCAACTGTATGGACCTCAATTAATTTTGAACTAAACTTTCTGCGGCTAGGCAAAATGCCAAGATTAGACAAAAATCCAACAATATTCTCTAAAACAATATGTGCCAAAAATGTCAAAATCAAGCAAGAAAGATCAGAGATTCGCTAAGAAAGGTCAAGCCTTTTCAAGATCCAACAATAATCTTCCCAAAATTTATCAAAATCAAGCAAAAAGTTTAGAGAGGACCTCGATCTGGGCTTGGCTCCGACAGGGGTGAAGACTGGCGGTGACGAGGCTCGTGAGCTTGGCTCCGACGAGGTGAAGACGGGAAACAACGGGGCTCACGGGATTGGCTCAGACGGGGATGAAGAATGGTGCCGACGGGGCTCGTAGGGCTTGGCTCCGACTGGCGGCTGAAGACTGGCGGCGAGCCGCGGCCGATATGAGATCGCGGCGGAGGAGGGTCAGATGATTGTAGTTTGCGTATGAGACGGGAGAGGCGGAGGCAGGGTTGCGAGAGAGAGAGAGGGGTAAGGGTCTGGGCGAGTTCTTGGAAATAGGCGGTCACTTCATAAGAGAGGTGTGAGGGAGTATTGAGTTGGCCTTTTCGTTCAACCGCTCATAAAATCCAACGGCCACAGGATGATTTCGCACGTTGTCTGTGCGAAAACGCTTTCGCCAATTGAAGATTTCTCTCTGCTCTCTTCTCTCTTCTCTTCTATATATATATATATATATATATATATATAATATATATATATATATATATATATATATATATATTAATATATATTATATTATATATATATATATTATATATATATATATTATATTATACTATATATATTATGTGTATATACACACATATTATATACTAGTATATATATATAATATATATAATATAATATATATTATTATATATATATATATGTACATACTAATATATGTCACATCATCATATATATGTTATCAATATATATTATATGTATATATATATATATATAATATATTTATATATATATATATGTACATATATATAGTACATATATATTATATGTATATATGCTACACACAGACATATATATATATTATATATATGTACATATATATATATATTATATATATATATATATATATTATATATATATATATATACTTATATATATATATATAGGGAGTAGCGGAGAGGTTCTAATAAAAACCTCCTAGCCTAAAAAACTAATAACTCCTTTCATCCATTTGCGATCTAGATGAATCAATGGATGGCGATTCAGTCAAACAGTCAACAGACACATGCATTAATTACCTCATTAATTACCTCAACGCAGTGAATCCAGATTCACTACCTCAACGTATCTCGAATCACTGTAGTGAATCCAGATTCACTGCGTTGATATAATTAATGCATGTGTTTGTTGACTGTTTGACTGAATCCTAGCCATTGGATGAATGAGGTTTTTATTTTTTAGGCTAAGGAGGTTTTTATTAGAACCTCTCCCTATATATATATATATATATATATATACACTAGCTTTTATACACGTGTAGTGCACGTGGTTAAATATCATGATTAAGTATTTTTAGTTTATTTCCTTATTAAAATTTATTTCTCGATTCCACTTTGATAGTTTTTGCTCACTTATACCTCTAAACTTTAGTGTTGTGATTATTTATTTTCTTTGATTTTGTCTGAATGGGCTACACCTAATTTAAATTTTTATATTGATAATTGAATTGACATAAAACAAATGTAATTAAAAGCCAATTTGAATGTTCATGTTATTTGGCTTGACATGAAACCACACATGACCTAAGAAAGTATAGTGTTGCAAAAGTGAAAAATACATAAAGAATAACGATAAGCCAAGATGGCTGATTAAAAGTGGGTCAAAACAACACAATAAAGAATATGGAGTTTATTCCTATTCATTGATAAACTTCATAAAGTAACATAAACTAAAAATTAACGCTAACTCTAGTATACTTTTATATGATAAAAGTATCCACATAAGCATATAGCACTAAAAAACTAATAAAAATCCCTCCTAAAGATTCCTAATTTTACTCAAAAAATTAAAACTATTCCATAAAATATTCAAAAAATATTGTCTTTATATTCCTTTTGTTTCATTATTTTATTAAACTGAGATCAACCATTCTCATTTATCTTTTTCCTGGCAAATTCTAGAGTAATCTCATCATCACCTATATCAATTGTGACATCAGGCTGGAGCTGGATTTCTCGTACTATTATCTTTTCCTGGACTTGTTCATCTGCTGTTTTCTAGCCTAACTTCACAACGAATTTGAATGTATTTCTGTTGTTCAACACAAATTTCTAAAAATATGGGTTTTAATTAATTTTCTATTTTAATGAGAAAAATGTTAATTTTTTTATATACTAAATTTTTTTATGTTTCTAATTTATTACTTAAATAAAGTTATGAGTTACATCTTTTTTCTTTGCAATGAATTATTCTATTGTACATCTAATAAGAGTTTATCCAGTGTTAAATAATGTTACCATAGCTCTGTCTGTGTCATTTTTCACAAGGTTCTGAACTAAACACCTATATTTTTTTATTATCGATTTGCCTTAGATTATGATGTTAATATTTGATTTTAATATGTTTATTTATGAAGAATGAATATTACTTAACATTGTTACTAAGTCATTGGCAATTCTGTGACATTCATTATTTGGACACACGTTACTAATATCTATCCACCTTCTTGTTGCACCATTTGCAAGCATAAAACCACGACTTTACTCTATTATAAATGCTAGTTATCTTTGCCTTAAAGGTGCAATAGTGTGTTTGTATATTGGTAACATATAGTTACGTTCAATTGTGTAAATTTTAGAGTATGTCTCATAAGATCGTACCTCTTTCAAATGTCGTGATGGTTGCATATTTAGAAATTTGAATTTCTTTTATATTTGTAAAGAGCCTTGATTGAGATGATTTTGTCTTGACAACTTATTTTGAGTGAGCCATGCATATCATCTTAAAATATAATTTTTTTCTTTATTATGTTAGATGGATGTTTGCTTGGTTTACTTACCATTCTTTTATTTCTTCAGTAAGTTGTATCTTTGAGCTGATATACATTATTGATGCAATTTACGATGATATGCATATCTCTCCTACAAATTTGAGATAGATATAAGGTAAATTTTATGCTTAGTTGCCTT